TCGGTCCTCTCTCATTTTTCTGCACGCCAATTTTTTACGTTTTTTTTTCTGACGATCACGTAGCTGGAGGGGGCCGTAAAAACGTCCTTGTCGCCGTTCTGAAAGAAATCTCATGGTATTTGTTTCCTCAAGGATAACTAGGTGAAATTACGCTCCTTCAGTTTCTTCGAAATGAGTGGTGTGGATGGAATTGTTGGCTGTGTTGACGGAACCGTAGTAGACCTTCTGAATCCTACGGATGCATCAAATAGGTGAAACTTTTGTTACTTTCATATATATACCATTGTAACCTTGCCTTATTCGATTGCGTCTGAAATGGGAATGATTTGTTTGAGCTGGGTGTGTCTATTCATTATAGGACAGCCTGATGCAATATGTTGGAATTTATACAATGAGGATACATGATCGGCTCCCAGGGCTTGTCCTGTTGTTTGGGAAAACCCTTGCAAAGTACAGACCCTCATATTTCCTCTTCCGGTACACCCCGTCCCCTCCTCCCCATCCTAACCAACCACTTTACTGACTTGACTTTTCCCACCAACATCCTATCATTGTTTTGACATTTTTCAGAAGGATCTCCTGTTCTTCGTCAAAAAGTTGACTGAAAAGTTGTCAACTGCGGGTGGGGAGGGGAGCGGATAGGAGGTCGCCACCAAAAAAACCGCTCTCAACTAACGAAATTAGTATTGTGTAAGATTTGCTGAGCCGCCAACCAGAGAAGGGGCTAACGGCTCCGAAAAAATACAAAAGTATGACCTCTCTCAGTGAGAGCCTTCTAACGCTGTGCTTTATGCGCGTGAAACAAAGGGAATCTGCCACCAGAAAAGGTTCTTAGGCCAAACCTCCTTTCTCCAGCGACGAGATGCGGCCCCCTTCGCTAGGCATTCACCAGCGTACAACTACCCTGTCGGCTACTCAAAAAATTTTCAGTAACTGCCAGGCTCTCAATGTCAGCGTGATAACGGATGATCAAATGATGATTCGTTGGGTTTTTGCGAAATATCGATCCGACGTTGACGATAATACGGTAAGACGAGAGTGACCTGTTGATTTCAATCCTTTTATCGATCAAGAATGGAGATCTTTTCAAGGTATTCAAAAGAAGTTTGCTTTGTGAGCAACTTAGAGATGGCACAAAGAAGGGAATTCTCGTTGGTGATGACGCCTATGTTGACGAACCATTTCTTTTAACGCCAAGTTCACAGTTCGGTAAGTCATCTAAAAGACGACTGCATGCAGACAGTATGCCAAGATTTTCCCCTTGAAGATCCGGTGCGAGCAGACAAACTGAGGGAAGTGCATCGCATAGCGCAAGAAACGATTGTCAATTGGAAAAGGCAATTTCCGATCCTTTCTAGTAATATGAGGTTTGTGATCTTAATTCCCACACTTTTCTAGTCCTGATGGTTTCTGTACAGGTCATCAAAAGTGGCAAGGATCATAGTAGGATGCGCTGCCTTGTACAATCTCACAAGGCTTGAAGGTGAACCGGTTTTTGGAGAAGACGAAGATGAAGAGGTGCAAATAATCGGGTAGCACATCAACAAGAAGATGAGAATTGAGAAAGGTTGTAACAAAGTTTCTTGTACATCACCTATACTTTGAATGTAAATAATAAATCTTTACGGGCAATGAGTTTCTTTGATGCGTTATGAATAGGTTTCGCCATCACTTAAGCACTTTTTGTTTTTTGTTGATGTTCAGCTAGAGCCGTCTTCCAATAGCTTTGGTTTTGCTTCAGATCCTTGTTTCGGAGCTATTTACCCATTTTTGTCTCAGTATTCGAAATTCTGACCGCAAGTTAGCCAGAATTTGTACTGGTAGCACTTCTGAACCATTGAACAATCACATCCTCCACTTTAAGAGTGCTGACGCCCACGTCTCCCGCGACAGGGAACTGCTTTGGTGCCGACTCGCGTAACCAGGCGTTTTCGCGCTAAGCAGAACTGTTGTGTACGTGTTCGAAAGTAAAGATACCCCGAGAAGAATTTCATGGAACTGGGTATTTCGAGTTATTTTGGTGCTTGGGCTAGGCGGGTTGAAGCCACGCGATTTGTTATTACTGCTCCGCGGGCCAGACCACCCCTGGGACCGCATTCCAGTTAAATAAACCACCAGGGAGAAATCAGTTTCAGAATCTGGCCCGAATTTTTAGGGAAGAGGATGGGAAGGATTGGTAATGCCCTTTTTTAATTCATTGTGTCTTTCTGATTATGAAGATTACGGTATAACGAAGGTAGTTTACCTCTAGCTTATTGTGTCTCCACAATGAAGTTCGTTAAAAGTGATATCTCCTTTGGAAATCTCACGCCTAGTTGGCTTTAGGAGGGCGGGCATTTTTGCATTCTTGGTGGTTCTTTCCTAGTTTATAACAGGTCTATCTTTAGCGAGCATGTTAACTCTTGTTAAGCTACAAGGTAGTACAAGTGAAGCACTTTCGCGAGAAAAATTTACAGGTTATTACAAGATGGCATGTACAAGTCTGCCTGAAACAGGGCACATCGTTGTTGGGGAATCCCCAATAGGGGGGTCGTATTTGGTCGCCAGGAGGGGGGGTCGTATTTGGGCTGAGAAAAATTTATTTTGATAGTTGATTTTTCTCGCTTCATGGACGTTGTAAAGGAGGGGGTCGTATTTGATCATTTTTGGGAGGGGGGGGGGTCGTATTTACGTTTTG